CTTTTTGAAGCTCCGCCTTCAGGAAGTCATCACAACATGGCTCCTCTGTTAACCCTTTAACAACATTGTACAGTGGAGTATCGGGGCCAAGCTAAGAGAATTTTTGTATAATCACGAGAATATAATCAGAATATTGGCAGAATGAAATCGCAACTTTACGAGAAGAACGTCTTAAAATTATTACAAAAAAGTTGTTTTAATGAGATAGACCTTGGATAAGTAGTTATTTATTTTGTTTACAGTTCTCATACAATTAATAATTTATGCTCCTATTATTACAACTTTAATCTTTTATCATTATGACTTTATTGTCATGCGACTTTGTTCTCGTGTTAACATAGCCCCTAATATTTTGTCATTGAGTTGACCTGAATTCAGAACCCAAATAAATAGCATCTGTAATAAAAAAAAAACATTTTTAAACAAGATGGCGGCCCTGACATCACTCTGAACTATGCAAACCAGATTTTCCCACAAATTAAATCTTCGAAAGCCATAACAGGTACTTGTCGCCCAACCCTGGATGAGTTTTATGCTGAAAGTCACCGTTTGGGGCCGGGGCTGCCGGTGCGTTGGCGGGGGCCGCCGGGGCTGGGGCCGGAGCCGGGGGCGGGGCCTGGGCCTGGTTGTTGTTGGACGCCCTGAGGACGTCCATGCGGCAGGTGGGGCAGGTCTGCTGCCTCTGGAACCAGGAGCGCAGGCAGCTGTGGAGCATCAATGACCATAAAAACATCGATCTTATCAGGCAAACAAAAAGCGACTTTTCATAAGGATCTTTTGTTTTCAGCCATGTTTAAATTTCTAGCTCAAATCCTGCTCTGTTGAAGTGTAGCAGAAGTGTTAAGCTCAGACGTGTGTGTGTGTGTGTGTGTGGTCACATTGGACTCACCTGGAGTGGAAAATGTGATTACAGGGTAGCTTCTTGGCTCCAGTGACCATTTCCTCTCTACAGATGATGCAGACGTTGTCCGAGGCCTGCAGATCCTCCGGAGTCGCATCAGGATATCTGAACATCATATAATAACAGACACATTACTGGAATATCTCAAAAACTATATTACAATTAATAAGAATTAAATGAATAACTAAATAGACAAAAAAAAACAACTGATGGACTCACAGAGTGTTCATGTTGCGGATTGCTCTCCTTGACATTATAGCATCTGTTACGGCTTTTTTAAACTGCCTGAAAAGACAAACAAAATATTTGAAAGATGTGGGAAATAAACTTTGTTTTAGGTTGACATGAAGCAACAATCCAGAATCTTTATATTCTCAAAAACACAAAAAATTAAAACAACCTTCTAGATCAGGTGTCCAAGCCTCTTTTTACAACTTAAAATGAAAAATGATTTTGTTGGATTTTTTTTTTTAAATCTGCTCAGCAACAAATTGAATATATGATACTTTTTTAATGACGCAATGGCTAAAAATTTCCTAACTTTTCGGGTCTTTTTTTGCAGTCTAGAAAATATTTTTCCATCAACAAATACCTTCTCTAAACCAGTTTAAGGAGTGGATGTGATCTAGTTTTTGTTTTTTTCTGAGTAAAAAGTCACTGGATGTTTATAGCGCCACTTCATATGAACTTAAAAGCAAAAGAAAAATATTTTTAGATAACTTTATGCTCGAGAATTAAATTAGTAATGGAGATTATCACCCTAAAAGTAATAAAAAAATAAATAAACTTCTTCAAAGTGTCCACCAGAGGGCCTCATTTGTGCCAGTCTTGCATTCTTGACCTGCAGTCGGCCACATAAAATTGCTCCACGGGCCACGAAGGGCCCCTCAGCCGCAGTTTGGACACCCCTGTTCTAGACAGACATTTCATTTGAAGAGCTGCTCACCTCATGGCCAGGTACATGGGCCGGATGGCGAACAGGGGGAAGGTGTGGACCTTTATCATGATGGTCATGAAGGCGATGTAGAGGAGAACCTTGATGAAACCTGGCAACAACACGCCATGTGACACATACGTCAACATCATGGACACCATATTTAATCAGTCGTACACACAGACTAGTTGCAGCACCTGTGAAGAGCTCGGTGTAGAGCATGTAGACGGCCTTGTTGTCCCAGGGGTTCTCACTCTGAAGGTCGACGGTGTGCAGGATGTACTTGATGAAGGTCGTCAGGACCATGGTCAACAAGATGGCGTACTGAGGAGGACGAAGAAAATCAAATGGAAAATATGATCAAATCTGTGTGTGTGTCAGAGAGGGAAGCAGCAGTCAGTTGTAAAGTATATGTGGTGACTTAGCATCAGAAAAAAAAACACAGGTGAGTTAGATATCGGACTGGAAAATGAGATTCATGAAACAAATCTCAACATCAATTTAAAGCAAAATAAATTCTCTAATGAGTGAAAACTCAAAGACAACAATATAAAATATGTAATGAAACATTGACTTTTACTCTTTTCTTCTTACTTTCATTTGCTATTCAATAATTATTGATTTCATTTAGCGAGGACGCTAACCTCATATCTTCTCATTTTAGTTGACGAGTTCTGTGGTTGAAAATTTACCAGGTAACATACTGTGACTTCATTCACCTGATGTTGAATATACAAACACATAAATATGATAGTTTTTATATTAATCATATCAGCCAATCAGAAAGATGAGACATTTTCCTGAATTTCCCCTTTGTGAGACAATCTAGGTTATTTCTATCTTCTAAATATATCTTCAGTAAGTTATTTCAACTTATATTTTACAATAAAGTCTGAAAGAAGATTACATTTGTATATATTTTTTTAAAAAATGTATTATTTAAAAATCTATTAGATTCCATTCTTTTTAAAATTTTAAAATTTTCTTCCTCATTTTCCCTCCAACTTTCTGAGGCCCTCTATCGCCCCCTGGTGGACTCCACTTTTTAAAAGCATTGTTAAAGCGTCTTATTTAAAGTATTGGTAATGCGAGATATTTACCTCCTAGACATATAAATATTCATTAATAATTAAAGGATAGTAGAAAACATTTTGAGTTCTTATATGGAAGCAGCAGGAGCTGATTTTATTTTGTGTTTTTGTAATAAATGGTCTAATCGACACATTTAAACCGTTAGCTCTGTCACCACAGAGAGTGCTGCATTAAGATTTAGATTTTTTCCCTTTTTTCTTTACACACAGCTGGAGGATTTGCAAGATTACTTCAAAACTTGCATTAAATCTGAATTTAAATCTTTTTTAAAGCTTTTAAATGATTTCCAGTCATTAAGAAGTTTGAATGCGATTTTTTTTTAAGATGCTCATTTTGTTTAGACCGCAGCTCCTAAGAAAAATAATCAATTGACAATGATTATTCTTTATTATAAGAGGAACCTGCATGAAAAAAAAGAATCAGCTTTTTTTTTTTAATTGTAAAACGAACCATGATGCATTTAACAAGCCTCGAGTTTTTAAGGTTATAAAAAGGAACTGGGACAAACCTCAAAACCAAAAACGAGCTGGACCGAAGCTCCTCTGGTAATGATGCTGTGGCAGGCATGGTTAACAAACAGGAAGTCCATGACAGCCAGAAGTCCTAGAAGAGCTGCAGAAAAAATTAAGTGTTCATTACAGAAGTGTGCATGCAGAGTGTAAACAAGAGGAAAAAAAAATAAATAAATGTGACTCTTTAAACCCCAGGCAGCTGCTGAGGTGAGGTGAGAACTTAAGTTGTTTCTGTGACATGCAGACAGTTTTAGGCGGTAAAACTGAAGAGGAACTGGAACCATTTTGTGACAACAACCAAGACGCACCTGGCTTTGACAAATATTTGCATACAGTTTCATGAAATGCTTGGCGCCAAGTGAAATCAGTACAAAAAAAACCTGAAAGGTACTTACATAAAACTCTCAAGTGAAAAACCCAGGATATGTTCGGACTCCTCTCCATCTGATGAGAAAAAGACAGGAAAAAAAAAAACTCAATAAGCTGATCTCCACGAACGTTTCGCTCATCTTTTCTCTTGGGTTACGGCTGTTTGTTTGGTAAAGATTTGTCCGCTTTCCTTTTCCCACTCAGAGTGAAACTCACAAAGTCCACCCGGTCCTCGGCCAGCCAGTGGAAACACTTGAGGAAGAGCAGGAGGGTGAAGAGGGCGACGAAGCGAGGGGAGAAATCGTCCCTGAACACGGTGAACGCCAGGCAGGTCTCTGTCACCGCGTACCAGGAGCGCTCAATGAGGTGCTGGCAGAGGGGGAGAGAGAGCAGAACGCGTTTAGTTTACATTTACAGCACGACATTTCACAGTGTTGTCTTTTTCTATTTCAGTCGGGGGTTTTTTTATTTTATTTTTTTTTTTACAAAAATTATGTTATGAAAACAAGGTCGTAAAATTAAGAGAATAAAGTCGAAATAATGAAAATAGTAATGACCTTATTCTTGCATTATTTCAACTTTATTCTCATAATGTTTATTTTTATTTTTTTTTACTTTCGTAGGGAGGGTCCAAAACTCTGTTTTTTAAACTTTCCATACACAAATAAAAAACTGCTAAAAAAAACAAAAAAAAAACTACAATGCTGAAAAAAAGAACTAAAAAAAAGTAAAAGACAGACATTATTCCAACTTGTAGAGGATATCCGTTTTTCGGAATTAAATAATATTTCAATTCCTGTCACTGGCAAAAAATAAATAAATAAAAAAAGTGCAAGTAAAAGCATAAACTTATTACACTTTTTTTATACATAGACGATCATCAAAACAGCAGAATTGTTCTTGTTTATTTTTCTAAAGCATTTTTCCAAAGACTTCCTTTTATGAGTCGTAGAAAACTCAAAAGAAAATTAACAAATCATCAAATCTTGTACTTGCTTAGCAAATGATTTTGATACTTTTTGTCTCAAAGAGTGAAAAACACAGTTCTAACTACCAAAAATTATTTCACACCCGAGTTTCTCTGGTTGAAGTACAAATGTTTTTAATATTTATCCTGACCTTTATTTTTTTTAAACAAACTTCTCTCTCCTAACTCAAAGTTTGTTTCTTTAATTTTGAACCACTTGTGCAATCTTGGAAGGAGTTTATAATAGGTTTTGTACATGTCAACGCTGTTCTGAGCTCTACAGAAATCATAAAATTTTAAAGTATCCAATATAAGAAATATTTCCATCAACTGGATAAAAATAATCCAATGCAGTTATAACTTGAATAGCTTTCTTTTGGAGCCTGTAGTCAGGTTTTGTGTTGATTTTATACGAGTTTCACCCCGATATCCGCACACTAACACATGTATGAAAGCGTGAAGAAAAGACAGATCTTTGATGATCCCCCACCTCCATTTCAGCAGCCCTCAGCTGGCCAAAGAACACCTTTCTCATGAATTTCCCCAGCAGGAACACCAGCACAAACGCCTGGATGTACAAAACCTAATGGGGAAGGAAACAGAAAGGAAAACTTTAAAAGTGGCTCACGTGAAGACAAGCAAAAGCTAAAAACAGTCCGACCAGACGGCTGACCTACCGCCATGCTGGGGCTGCTTTTGGTGAGGTACACGACGGTCGGGTAGAACTGATGTTTGAGCAGGTAGGCGTGGGCCACCACGGCGCCGGTCAGCGCCATGCTGGTGGCGGTCACCAGGATTGCTCGCACCATTGTGGACTGCAGGTGCCGCTGAGGCGCAAACAGACACAACAACACAAGAATTTAAACCTTCAGGAATGTCAAGATTTTAACTTCTTTTCTTCCCTCCATTTTAAAATATTATTTATTGCGTTTTCACTTTCATCAAGGCCATGTGTAAACAAATCACAATCAGGCGTTTCCTGACCAATACAAATTTTGCACATCATCCTCAAATTCTGACTTGACGCAACATCTCATATTTCTTATGAATCAAACTTAGAAATCCCACACATTAACCAAAATCATGTACCTTAATGCATAAAAAAGTCACATAAATGTTTGATACATATGCTTTGACACTTAATTTTTTTACACAATTTTTACAATTATTTCACAACACATTTATTTCCTTTTTTATTGTCTATCATTAAGGAAATACAAAAACAGAGAATTAAGTCAAAGTCATCAGCCCTTAAATGATTTAGGGGGAGAAAAGTAAAATCAAAGTAATTCAAAAGTGTCTAAACCCGTGCTTTCACAAACTAAACTATGGAAACCACCTGAAGGAAACACAAAGTGACGCATTTCAAAAGAGAAAGCGTCCGTGGCATGTAGCCACTTTGTTTTATAAAACACCTAACGTATGAAGAGACAACTGTTTACAGCTCCATGGTAGCTAAACCAACACTGAAATCTTGCATATGATATATTTATGTTGATAATATATACTGAAGTTTCTTGGAGCAGCATAAACCTTCAGCATAAATAAAACCATACTGAATCCATTGATTTATTTATTTTTTTAAAGTATTTTCGCACTATACAACTGTTTTATGGCGCATAGAAACATTCCCTTTAGAGCTAATGGGTTAAGCTTAACTCCTAAGTCTTGTGACAGCTTCATAAGACATATGGAAACATTATTCATGAACCGAAACCTTCAAATAGACTTCTGTTTGGGTTATAACTGTAACTAATTCTGCAGGTATGTTGACAAACAGAAATAAGGGTTAGTTAGCCTATGCTAGCTTATGTTAGCTTCCAACCGCTCCAGCTGTCAGGGACTCACCGACTCGGTACCCGCAGGACGGCTCGCTCCTCGGCTGATTCAACGGCGCCTCCTTGTCTGATAAAACCTCTACGCTGTCTCCAGCTACTCCATTTCAAACATGTCACCGTACCCTCCCAATTTTTAGCTATTAATTCCCCCCTCACCCGTATTTGCCTGTCTACGTGTTTATCTTTGGCTTGCTCCTTTCAAGCCACCTCACATCCGGTTGTTATGGTAATTTAACGCAACAGCATTTTGTTTTTGCGCCACAGAAATGCGCGGTGTTTCGTGTTTAGCAGCTAAGCTACAAATGAGGCAGGAAGAGAACAATGTTAAAACATCATGATATCAGTTACCAGTGGCCTTCTTATTCGTATTTCCTCCAGGTGTGCGAGATATTGTGTTCCGCATTTTCTGAGTTTTACGGTAAATATAAACGTGGACCAATAGGAAGTTATCGGGCTCTCACAGCCAAAAGAGGCGCATTCAAGCGCGCGGTGTCTCACAATCCAATCAATCATGTTAAAGAATTGGAGATTGGAATACAGAATAAGTAACTACAAATTATATAAGGAAACATCCACGGTCAATTTCAGACATCAAAAGAGAAATACATTAAAACGTTTGTTTTTATGATTGTTGATGAAAATATTCTGCGGTGTATGTTCAGTTTTCTAAACACACTATAATGTGATGCTAACTATTTTAATTACAATTCAAACAATTTTAGACTTTGAAAAGCCATTTTTGAAACCTTAGTTAGAATCTGACTTTTGGAAATATTTGCGCATTAGACAATGTGTTGTTGGAAAGTTTCAGTAAAGCAGAGTCGGCAACCCAAGTGTTAACTATTTGCAAAACCATGATAAGCAAAAAGCATCCAATTCTGCACTGATACCACTAGGCACCAAACATTTTAAAAATTAATAGCTAATAAATAAGATTAATTTAAATAGCTATGCATATGATACACAGCTGTACATTATGTCACCAGGTGAACACAAATCTATTCAAGCGTTTAAAAGACGTCTAGAACAAATCAATGCATGAAAGTGCTGAACAGAAACAAAGCTTATATTTTAGCCCTTAAAGTGGAACAATCAGTCTGCACAGTTTCAGTTATTACAGCCAGAAACTACTGATCAGACCTGAACCTTCAGAGCCACATAAAGACAGTTACAAAGTCAGCCTTCCATCACCTGAAGAACATTTCTACAATGAAAGGACTGTTGCAGCAAAATCTGGAGAAACTCAAACATGAGAAGGATTACTGCAGCAGTCTCTTCAATCTAGCCCCTGTCTCTCAGAGAATAGAGTTTAAAATATGTTTATAAATCACTGAACGGCTTAGAACCAAAATAGATTAAAGATATGTTGCATCAACCTTCCAGACTTTTACAGTAAATTCTATTACAGTCTAATAGAATTTACTGATGTTAAGTTAAAAAAAAAAAAGATGTATATAAATAATGACCGTAATGGGCAGAAGTTCAGGTGAAATATAACCAGTGCAGGATTTCCCTTTAATTGAAATATTACAATATTCTCCTACCGACATATTAGTCATTTGTTGCCAATGTTCAATGTTGAATCAAGCATCTACTTTAAGGACTTTACCTTTGAATGTTTACTCTTAGCTTTATTTACTTAAGATTGAGAGTACTGTAACATTTTAAATGAGTTTTTTAATTCTGGTTAGTTTAGGGTTCCCCATTATTGGTAACCTTCAAAATGTAACACTTATTTCAATTTCCATACTTGCCCCCTTTCCTGAGTTTTAAACAAACGTCCTTAAATTTTCCCTTGCTGCTTCTAGTAACTTTATTAGCCATAAAAATGTTTGGTCATCCAAACAGCATATGCTCTAGAATACACTGCAAATACACTCCTTTATTGACCAATAGGGACACTATATTTGTAGGTTAGATCACAGCAAACAAAAGCCTTCAGCATTATGTACTCAGTGTTTTGACGTCACATGGGTTACCTTTTAATTTTTATGGCTCTGTCATGACAACGTCTGATGTAGGCTTTAGAAAAAAATATGGAGGTGGTATAAAAAAAACCCCACCCATATAGTGTTAATAATATACACTTTAGGAACTTAAACCTGACTCGAGTACAGAAACAGAACCATTAACAAATACCTTTTTTTATTTCATGGAGCTAATAAAGTGAATTAACATAATGCCTTGGTACCCAAGCCAAAATTTAATATGCCTCCACAAAAAAAAAAAAAAAAAAAAAATTTGAGGGTACAAATTTTTTTAAAAAAGGGGGTCTGGAAAATACAGCCACTCTTACTTAAACTTGAGAGTACAAACAAGCCTCAATAATGGTGGTGCTCATGTTGTGGTTTCACAATACCTACCTCTATGGCAACAGATGTAACATTAAAAATGTTAGCTTATGGCATGTTAAACTTGTTCAGTGATCTCCCATATCAAAAGAAAAAAAAAAAAAAAACTATCACATTGGCATACAGAACTTTGTTAAAAGCAGTAGCTCAGTGTTCATTTCTAGCAGTAGAGACTATAAAAAAAAAAGCATTTGTTATATCAGACTCTAATGGTAAACTCTTAACTGAAAAAACTGAGACAACAATGTAAGAAAAGTGTTTCATAGATTTTCAAATTCTCCGGCAGACGAAGCAGAGCAGTGAAACCGTTCTCTGCTTAATTACAAACTACAAGTAAAAAAAAAAAAAAAAAAAAAAAAAAAAAAGCAATGTAACAAACGTCTAATTATTGTTTGACAGATTCAGCCCTAGATTGTTCCATGCTGCGGCATTGTCGAGCAGTAGTGTGTCCGTGTTAGTGTAAATTCAATCTGCTCCTTCTCCCGGTGTTTTCTTGCAATATTAGGTTTTTATATATGTAAATGAAATGGATTCTGGCTGAAACCGTTGATGAATTTCCTGCGAGAGCTTTATATCCCTTCCCAAGGTAAGTGTAAACAGTTCAGCCATTAAGACAGCTTTAAATTACAAATCAATGTAAAAAGGGGGATAAAAAACAAAAAAAAAAAAAGAGAAAAAATTATAAAAGAAACCAGACAGGTAAAAAGGTCTTCTAAATCTCCCAGAAGTCTGTTATTAGGACACAGAGGAGATGGGGTTGAGAGGCGAACCCATCTGTGTCAGCACTTTATCCAGCCACTGCAGAGGCCCATGCAGGTGCACCTCGATCCAGCAGGGGGTGCTGGTGACATCCTGTCGGTGGTACTCGGCTCCCCAGCCCTGAGAAATTTAAAAACACCAGCAGAAAGGTAAACTATGACTTCTGTTGCTGCTGCGAACCGTTTCAAAGTAAAAGCGTGCGACTCGTCACCTTGACAAAGCTCATCCTGATGGTGCACATCTTGGTGAGCTCGTAGACGGCCTCGAAGCCGTGGTTCACCGATTGGGCCAGCAGCTGAGCGAACTCCTGGTTGTTGAAAATCTTCAGGCTGCACCCGCTTGGGATCTTGCACACGGTGGTGGGATGGAAGCCGTGGTGGAAGTTACAGTTGCGACTCTGGACGAAAATGCTGGTGTCGCTGAGGCACTCGGCGTACACCTCCCCTCCCACGTAGTACAGGTGCACCCCTGCACAAATGCATGAACAAAGTGTCAGCGACCGCAAAACGGCAGGAACACTTGCTACATCCTTCCCTTCGCCGCCGTACCCTTGCCGATGTGCCTGCGGGTGTTCTCGATGGTGGAATTGCGGTTGACGTTGGACAGCAGTCCGAGGCAGAAGCGGTTCTTGTTGTTTGACGGGTCGGTGAAGCCGTCCACCAGCACGCTGGTTGACGAGGCGTGGTAGGCCTCACCGACGCGGTTGTTGAGCTCGTAGTAGACGATGGAGCACCAGTGGCTCGGCTCCTCGTACTCCACCGGCTGCACGTCTGGAAGCGGAGCGGGTCGAGATACGTTTTAGCTTTTAGTGAGATGAAACGCTAAAATCTCTGAAGATCCTCACAAAATCAAAGCAATTTTGACTTGGAAAAAGTCAGAGATCAATCTAGCAGATCTAATAAATGCTTCAGTTTTTTATTTTTTTATTTCCTGAAACACTACTGTTTCTCAAATGTAGTAAGAATAAAAAAAAATATAAAAAAGGCGGATACAAGCTCATTCTCAAACACAGAGTAGGAAGTAATACAAGCCATTTATCATGATGGGTAAAAACTGCCAGACCTGCATAAGTTTCAAATGCTTATTTCACTAAATTCAGTGTTTCTGTAAAGCATAAAGCTACACTAGATCAATGAAAACAACACTTATTAATTAAAGGAACGTTGAGAGGAGGAGGGGAAAAAACAGAGCAGAATAAACAGACAAAAATTGATTGTGAAGAAAAGTCAATTCAAGAGCTGGGGTGAGATTCACAAGGTGTGGTCTGGTCTTAGGGACGTTGTCGATCCTTAAGTGTATTGGCAACATCACCAATCTTTAGCTGGATTGGGGGATGTTTGTTCACACGATAAAGTCATTAAAAGTAATGGATGCGACGGATGTAAACAGTTAAATCAGATATTCATAATTCAGCCGTGGTGCTAGTGCTCATCATCTACCAGCCATCAGAGGAGACGTTGGCGTCTCATTCAGGCGTTGGAGCGACAAGATCCCCTGCTTCTGGGGAAATCGTAGTCTGTGGTTCTACAGAAGAGCCTACGGATTCAACACGTTCAAACGAAATGCAAATTTTTTATGAACTCTGTGATGCTGTGAGAGCTCTTGTGGATCCAGCTGCACATTGTCCAAAAATCATCCTCCTCTTGCTACTTTCCTGTCGTCTTCTTCAGCGGTTTTGCCAGTAGCAACATCTGGCAGTTGATCGCGAGATTCTTTTGACATGAAAAATGTTTTAGATTGAAAAACCACATCATTCTAACATAAAAACTTTCCGAAAAAACATGATTTTTTCCCCCCAAATTGTTTCTATAAAGCAATTTTATTTTTGTAATTTCAATTTGTGCAATTTTATGGCTAGTGGAAACGGAGTTACAGACATTTTAAGGACACAGGCTACCACCGTTTCATTTCTTCCAGCTAAGCTAGTCCTGAGCTAGAAGAAAACAAAAAACAACAACTGGATTGCAGCTCAATGGTCCCATTTTTAGTTGAAGGTGAAGGTTTTCACTTATTTGTAATTGACGGTTTAATGATCCTGCCATCACTACCCTTGAATATCCAGCAAACAGAATGACTACAAGAAAGTCATTCTGGTAATATGACTTTCTGGTCATAAATCAACCTGGATGCAATAAATGTATTTTCAAATTATTTACTAACAACATAACTTTTCTATAATATTTCAGGTTTACCGAGATGAGATGCATCTGCATCTTTTTATTTTATTTTTTAACTCTCGTGTGCAGTTCGTGTGCAGTTCCCACCTCTAGGTATGCTGCTGCTCGTTTCCATGGACTGGCTGTCCTGGCCCAGCTGCTCCTCCGGGGGCATGTAGGCCGGGGGCGGGGTGTCAGCTGAGACATGAAAAGCAGTTAGCAATGGATGAGACCAGTTGTTGCTGCTGCTGGCAAATGGTGTCTCTCTCACACACACACATACAGATCTCCCCAGACAATCATCACAGGATCTGTACCCCGGAAACGGTGTCAGATTACACGTACGCCTCACTTCTGAACCACATGCTAACCCATTCCCGACAAAGAGCCAACGAGGCGTTTGAGTCCTTACAGGAGAAGAGAAGAAATGGAGAGAAATCTGAAATACAACATGCGTCTGCAACACCAAACAAGTTTCTATCCTGAAATTAAAATCTGTTCCTACTTGACTCCCTGCAGCATATCTGGACTTTTCACTGCAACATCCACCGATAAAGAAAAAAAATGCAAACAATTCAGTATTTTTTTTCCTCCAGCTAAATATGCAGCAACATTTCAGCAGATAAATGGAGGATAAAGGCTTCCTGATGGCCATACTTGGTGCCTTTGCTGCAGGCAGATGCCCCGGGTCTGGCAGACAGAGCTTTGCTGGCATTTCCTTTGTTCCCATTAAGACGTGGTTTGATTTGGATCTCACTGGTAAACTCATCTGGTTAGTTTTGCAAAAAACCACAGTAAGAATTATACGGTTTAAAACTAAAATCAGTTTGGGTTTTTTTATATCAGATCTGATTTTAATCATTTTCTTTCCTTGATTTTTTTTTAATTACAAATGACAAAATATTTTCAAAAAGTGTCTTATTTCAGTCATCCCTTCTGTGTGTGGAACGACAAACTATTAGGGACAGGTTACTAGAATGTTTGCTTAATTACGAGAATAAAGTCATAATATTGGCAAAATAAAAACCAAATTTTACCAGAAGAGCATGTTAAATTACGAGAAAAAAAAAGTTGTTTTAATGAGAAACGATCTTTGATGGAGCAAACTGACGTAAGCAGATCAGTGGGTGTAGTTCTTTTTTTTTTTTAAATAGACTGTCATTTGTGCGATAATTTTCAAATCCAACTACTGACAATTTGTTGATGCGTTAAAATATTCAGGATTTCTTCATTTATAAAATGGATAAACGCATAACTTCACAATATGCTCAACATTCCTCCTTTTACTTTTTTGCTATATTTTGTGGAGGAGTTTTAATATTCCAACTGGATTTTTGTTTTTTGGCACCATTACAATTTTCTTTGTAATATGACTTCTCTTTTGTATTGCTGCAACATTTTTCTGGCAATACTACAACTTTTTCCTGTATGACAACTTTTCTGGGAATATGGCTATTTTGTATTATTTCAACTGACTCATTTTACAAATTTTTTTCTGGTAATACAATGAATGTTTTTCATGCTATTATGACTCATCTGGTAATATCACTATTTATTACCTTTTATTCTGGTGATATGACGTTTTTATATTTTACAAAATCTTTCTGGTAATGTGGCAACTGTTTTATGCATTACAAATTTTATCATTGCTGTGGTAATATGACGACTTTATTCTCGATATAAAAATTATAAATCTTGGCCTGTGCCTAGTTCTTCATCGTAGAGTTGACCTGAATTCAAAGTCCAAATACATAGAGGCTGTAAAAAAACACTTAAACAAAAATGGCCGCCCTGGGCTTGCTGACGTCATTCTGAAATGTGGAAGTCCCCTGCCCCCCAAAAAACTTCAAAAACCAAACATTTGATTAATTGCTGCAATAAATTTATAGCCCAGCCGTAACCATGGTTTTAGCTTGAAAATAACCTGAAAGCAAGGCGCTAAATTAACTGGAGCTCAGAATGACAAAGAAGTAGTAAGAAAATGTGTCACAATATAATATTTTTACAATTGAAGCCGATTCCAAGTAAAACACCTGATACTCAAAACAATGGACAACAGCAACCAGCAGGGGGAGCCTGGTGCAGGTTCTGGTCGGCCATGACAGTTCAGTAGTGTCTGTAGCGCTGCAATGTGAACCTCTGAGCTAATTTGGGAAAATGAAAACGGCTTTGTTTGTGTCAATGCTGATCCAAATTAATATTTGTAAAGAATTTTCTTAACAACCCTAGATACCACTGGTACACACAAACTTTGAGACACGCGTTTGTGAATCCTCGTTTTTTGCTGCTTGCGTAACACAACAGAAGCAGTTCAGGAAGAACAGCCTGGCATATTTCCCGGGGTCGGGCACGTGGGTGAGCTTGGCGTACCTGGGAGTTGGAATGGACTGGAGGGCCCTGAGCTGGCAGGAGAGTTGGGGTAGGTACCGCTGCTGGCTGGAGAGGAAGGGTAGGGGGAATTGGGAGAAATGGGGAAAGAGCCGCCGCCTCCTCCTCCTCCACCACCGCCGCCGCCTCCGTTGCTGTTGCCGCCGCCGCCACTGTGCGGCTGCGGGAAGGAGTCTGGGAAGGTGGCGTTCAGGGGCATGTGCGGCTCGTTGTGGGTGAGGTTGCGAAACTGTACGAGCAAGCTGTGCTGCGGGTTGAACTCGCTGTGCCTCGGTACCAGGACCGGTGGGAGAACTGGATGGTGGAGAGCAAAGACGTCCAGACGGGAACATTAGTTTAACACAGAAAACGCACATCTGTAAAATATCACGTCGCTAGGCTAAATATTTATGCATCTGACTAGAAAACATGAAAATATTTAAGATTCCTAAAGACTCGTCACTCTAAATGACTCAATTATTAAAACATTAGCCAATTACTAAGAAAATATCATAGAAAATATAAAGCTCATAAGCACTGAAGCTAAAATTACGCCAGGAGAAATAAAGGAAACGTATCCATCAAGACTGAAACTATTATTTTTAGTAATATATTGATTATTCTGATCAACTGGATAAAACAGATAGCACACTCCACAGATTTTTAATTCAACTTAATACTAGCAAACAAGGGTATATTAAAATCTATTAAATGGGTATATTAGCAGCTACTGTTGCTAACTAGCAGCTGGCATTCTTGTCTTGAGTTGCGGAAGACAGTGAACCATCTGTTCACAACTCAAAGTTTAGAATGAAAAGTAAAGTCCCACAAGAAAAAAAAGCCACACAGAATAAGATTAAATAGCCCAGTCTCGACAAAATGCAAGATCTGTGATTAACGTATTTCAGGCCAACCTTTTCTTTTTGCAATGAATTTCAGGCATTTTATGACCTTAATTTTACATACATTACTTCAAGACTTAAGGATGCGCAGACACCCCAGGTTTCTTAATGAAGCTTACATAGTGATAAATCAAAGAGCTGGAAGATCCTCTCTCCCTCCCTCATCGTTTGAAGCCTTTCTGAAAGCCTTCAGAAAGCCTTTGTTGATATGCTGCAAATGTGCAGCATCTCCTGACCGACATGTGATCCACATCCTCGAACCAGTCAATAAAGAGCTGGCGATCTCAAACAAGCCCAGTGTCAGAACGGCCGTCCTGTCGGGGTCATCCTTCACTGTGTTTATGGGGTGTGTGAATGACATTAGTAGACGAGCGGGGAGGTTTGTGCAGGGAAAGTGCTGGGAGTTTAGCCTGAGTGGTTTGTGCGCTTAGAAAGCCGCTCTCTGATGCCACACCCAATCTGGAGTGCCTGAGGCATATAATCTAATAAGACTCCTAGAGCTAGTGATATTGATTTTCTGTGAAATGGAAGAGGCGGGTTGAACAGGCCTGCATGATGACAGCCTGCTGACCTTTGTGGATTTGTTTACCAGCTCCTCAGTGTTCCGAGCTCTAAGGGATCTGGCATGACTCTGAGAACCGATCATCATCCATTTATTAAAAATGAATAAGAAAAAAAAAAAACCTAAATCATTATGTCTGTTGTAAAAATTAAATTATGACATTATGGTAGTGTAATAATTCAGAAGATTACTGTGTGCGCTTATCGATCGCCTTGATTACAAACACTGCTGTTAATGTGTGGATGCAAGTGCAGGAAATCTTTTTAATTGTATTTACGGTCAGTCATATTGATGTTAGCAATAGCTGCAAAAGCGACATATTTCATCCGCTTCCTGTTTAACTGGGTTAGGGTTGTAGTCAGATGGTGGACTGCGGCATCTAAACACGACGCTACAGTATGAGAATGCAAAGACTGGCAACTTCTAGGAAAACTTTTTTTAAAAAATCAAAAATCTGTTCAGCCAAGACAGAAAAAGGTTCGTCCTGCTGGCCTTTCTGCAGCTCTAAAATGAAGGTTTTCTTTTTTCATTAACTTGCAGCAGCTCAGACTGTCGCAAAGCAATAATCCATTTAATTTAAACGGGACAAAATATGACATAATGGCTACAGTCATTTCTGCTAACAGTTTCATTTCAGATTGTTTTACAGACTGTGGCAAACTGGTTTTGGAAAGAAGATGAATGTCGGAAAGTACACAAGTGGATGTGCATATTTAGACACACACAAGGTGTGAAGCAGCAAATAGACTGGAATAACTTGAGTAAAATACGATGTGCATGTGTGTAAAACTGTTGGTTGATATGGCTGGAAATAAAACAATAAACACTTAGATACTGACTAGAGGTATCTCAATATGGAAATAAATTCTAGATCAGGTGTCATGACAGTGACCAATCCGTAAGGGCAGATCTATTCAGTCTAATTCTATGCTTTGTGATCCGAGTGACATCATGCTTATTTTACATTTTATTTATAATTCCTGATTGAACTTTCTGAATCATTTGAAAGAAGGTTTGTTTTTTTACATGTTTGACCATAATAGTCAAACTTTTATTTTTTGAGACTTCATTAGTACATTTATTATTATTTCAGCTGCTTTGTTAATTTATTTTGGATATTTAAAATATCTTCCAGTTCCAGTGTTAAATGTTCTTTGGAAAATAAAGTTTCGAGACTGGGGTACTTGCATTATACCGTTATCATATTAGTTGAAAATGGTCTCAAAGACATTATTGCTTAATGCAATACATTCTGGGATAATTTATCATCCAGTAAAATTTGTTGTTGTGACAGACTGAGCTATAAAAATCATTTAAAGGGCTAGATTTGTTTTCACTTTTAAAGCCTAAATCTTTAAAAATATTCAGAATGATTTTAATGTTTTTTTTTTATTTCTAATATACAAAATTTGTATGCAATTTTGTCAAAATACAACAAAGGGGCTCAATTTAGACCCCCACATCAGCTCTAACTATATAAATTCAGGAAATAGAAATCAGGCCAGGCATAAGATTAAAATGGCAGTCCCAGGTGCCATGTTTTGTGCTGATCACTAGGAGTAAAAAACATGTTTAGTTCAGACGAGATTGAAAAGATTTTAAAGGGGCAGCGTTATGCGTTTTCCAGGCACATAGTGCCATTTTATAGCGCAATCGAGTAGCTATGGAACCCTCTGTTCTAAAAAATGCTGTATATATAAAATATGACTTGACGCATTGAAATTGGGCCTCTGTCTTTTTAAAAACTCCTGTTCATTCTGAAACTCTGCCTTCAGGAAGTCATCACAACATGGCTCCTCTCTTAACCCTACAACATTTTTACCAGAAGTAGCTTGGATAATGAGCTCAGCAGATGTTCCACCAGGTGTTTGCCAATAGCTGCTGGCTAGTCTGAAGGAGCTGAGTGGGGGAGTCGATTGTTAGAGCTGCCTTGTGAGGTGGAAGCTTGGAAACTGCAGCTCTGAGGAAGAGTTTTGTCCTCAAAGGCAGAGCTAGGTCCGCCTTTGAGGACTTTGGTTTGATTAAAGGATTTCTCAAACCAACACTCATGTTATGTTTTTGATTAGGTAATTACATTAAAACGTGATGTAGAGCTTAAAAGAGTCAATTTTACATCACACTGCCCCTTTAAAGTTAACCGTTTTCAGTAATAGAGCAGCTTTGTGAAATGAAATCAGAGGAAGTGCAGAAATCTAAGGAGTTATCTGAAAGGAAGTTTGTTTTTTTTACATGTTCAGGCATGTCTGGTTCATTCAGACTGAAACAGGGAAAAGCAGAGTGAACTCTCAGCTGATGAAAGTGTGAAAAAAAATACAGTTGGTGCCATTTAACACATCAGGCCTTTCAGTGTCTGTCACTCACAAAATATGCTGGATCAGCATAAGTTTGAAGACGAGCTGCACAAAGGATCCAGTTCCAATCCAAATAGTAATATCAGTGTGTGCAATAGTGCAATCAGGACATATTAATGGCCATGCATATTTATAAAGCATTTGGCCAGCTGGAGAGCATGTTAAACAGACAGAAAAATCTGAATCAATCAGAAGGGATACCCTAATTTCATTACAGCAATTTTAAGAATCAGTATTGCAATCACATATTCTCCTGATGTTGTGGTTGGCAGCATGTTGGGAGTAGCTCTGTTACTTTCATTCTGATTTTTTTCTTAAAAAAAAAATAAAATAAAAAAAGTTTCTGGATGATTATTCCCTCTAGGTTTGGATGCTGTGCAGCTAGAACTAAATTTCCCTTTGGGATCAATAAAATTAAGTCATGACTGTGATGATTTTGCCATTGTTTTAGATTAACAGTAAAACCCTCTCCATTGTGTGCTTTCACAGTAAATGTGACGTCGCTTTTGGTTCAAAATATAAATAATTGAAGGTCAATTAATAGCAGGACGGCTATGAAAAAAAAAAAAAAAATAGATGAATTGTTGTTCTTATAGAATAGCTTTTAAACCCAAATCGAGTGAAACTCAAAAATGGGCCATAAAAATTCCAATCAGTGAATTTTTCTCTTCCTTTACCGAGAACAGGGTTTCCCATGGTGAAATTCAAGGATTTTTTTTTTTCTTTTTAGCATTTTCAAGGTAAATTTTCAAACTTTTCCAGCACCGCTTAAGATATTTAAAAAATACAAATGAACCCAAAGAAGACGGTTTCAATTCACTGTTTTATGACATAAAATTTTACTATTATTCATTAAATCTTCTAAAGGAGGAAGAGAAGGAGAATGCAAAATGTCTCCTAAACGCCCTAAAGACAATAAGTAATGTTCTCGTTAAGGTTTCTAGCATTTAGCAAATAGAAATAATTTTTGTGATTCTGGCAAAACAAGAAAAGCTTAGTCTGATTTAACTTCAGACAGCAATAAAAATAAGTCTTTTTATTATCTTTAAATATCTGGTTTCAACTATAAGTGACATCTTACAAATTTAGACTTTTAATCACATGTTAGATTGCACTTTATTACCAAACTGTGCAGTTTGAATATCAAACACTTTCAAGGACTTTATACAGAAATCAAGCACTTTCCAAAACACCCAAATGAAATCCGCTTGTTTTTAATCAGCTGTGTGAACCGTGTGAGTTTTATAGAAGAAAACCAAAACCAGTCGGACCAGTAGCACCTACCGGGGCTCTCTACTCGCTTGTAGTGATACGGATTGATGCAGACCTCCTTCTGCTTGGAGCCGAACGGATACTCGCACACCTCCAGCGGCTTGAGCTCGTGGTGCGACTGCAGGTCCGGCCAGCGCCACACCCTGCAGTAGATGACGTGGGGGAGGCCCTTCCTGTGCGAAACCTGGAGACGACCGTCTAGCGATCTCGGGATGGTGACGCATTTGCTGGGCTGTCCGGGACAGCTCAGCGCCTTCTCCAGGTCCTCCATGGCACCCTTCTTCTTCTTCAGCTTCTTCACCAGCGCGTCCACCGCCTTCTCGGCCCACTTCTCCTCCTCGTCGCCCTGCTTCCAGCCGAGCAGCCGCTTGACTGCCGGGCTGGTGAAGGAAAACAGGCTGGACATGGAGGTCATGCTGCCGGCTGCGAGACTGTTGGGATTGTCGGTCAGTCCGGGTTTTAGGGGGAGGAAAAAAAAAATAAAAAGTCCAAAATGAACTCTAAAAGAGCGCCTGAGTGTGTGAGGGTGTGAATGTAAGCACAGATGATGGGTGGGGTGAACGGAGAGGAGGTTTCAGCCTTGTCTGACCAAGGACAGGAAGCAAGGGAGGAACGGGAGTCAGCAAGCAGGACGCAGCTGCTCCTGGTCAGGAAGGGCCCTCCAAGCAAGCTGTTCGGAGAAGGGTCACCGCCGACGATGGGAAGACAGGGCTGTAGGAGGGGGAGGGAGGGGCGTATGTGTGCTGGGATCGGGACGTGGCTGCAGGTCTCACCGGCGAACGTCTGACACGCGCTCTAAAAGAAAGCAGACATCGCTCGGATCGCTGCCGGCTCCTCTGGAGGCCACCGCCTTCCCGCACGGCGCAGCGCTGGGGTTTTGATCTGCTGCGCTCCTGCAAACACAAGAGAGGAAAAAAAAAAAAAACATACAAAAACAATTTTAAAGAAAACAATGACCTGCATGAAATCACAGATAAATAAGAATGTCTTATTGATCTGTAAAAATCGAGAAGGAATTCTGTTCTTGAATATTTGGTGAAATACACCAGAACAGCGTCACCTAACGGATCAAAAATAATCACTTTGTCGATCCGATGTGCTTGCTTACTTGCAGTAGTGTATTCTACTTGTATCATTGCCTGCCATCGGAGCCGCTAAAAGTCAAAACAAACAAAACGCATGTAGCCAAAAATCTCAGCAACTTTGGCCTTCCTAAGCTACGGTCAGATACATCGCCCTTCCCTCTGCATCATTCGGATCGACCGGACCGGGGTCAAACACGTCGCCTCCGGCTGCACAAGCAGCTGTTTGGTGGGGGGGGTTTGGGTGGTTGTGAAACTAGGTCGGTGGAAAAAGGATGTGACCACAAGAGCCGTTTCCTCCTCCATCTCATCTCTGCCCGGTCTCTCCCTCCCGGACCACAGCTGTCCGACAGCGGTGCGCCCACTCCCACCGCTCATTGTTCTACGCGCACATGAAAGCGAAGGGGGGAGCCATAGGAAGGAGGACACAAAAGGGAAGCGCAGACGTTATCGGACCCAAAATGTTCTGGATTTTGTTTGGCGTTTCCTAGGCAGGCAGATGTTTCAACGGAGGCTGTCGAGATCAGACCCGGCGGCTTTAGACTTAAAAGTTGCTAATCGTCAGTTAGCAATGATGACAAACAGTCATGCTGTACATGAAGTCAAAAAAAGGTGAAAAAAAAGTATAACAAGTAATCAATGAAGACTTTATGCATATCAGGGTTTCCACAAATATTTTTTTTAAACTGGTGGGGGTGACACCAGCTTAAAAAACATTTTAAAGGAGTCTTCAAAATGTATCTAAAACATTATGCATTATGGCCAAACTATATTAGTTAGCTACCTTACTGTTGTTCAAAATCAATCAATAAGTTTATTCATTCAACAAAACACATATCACCACTGTACAAAAACACTGTCTTGTAACAATTCATCTACATGAGTGAAAGGGAGCAGGAAGCCTTATAAAAACCTGCCTCTCTCAATAATTACAAATTAATCTTGTTTTCTTGGCTGCATATATAAAAATCAAGAACTTAACACATCATTCTCCTCATTGTTAACTCAAAAGAGTATGAGACTTTATTTTTTTTCTTTTAAAGTATTTTAATTTGGTTTAAAGCAGGACATTTTTTCAAATCTCATTTAAACTATTCCATAATTTGACTCCATGCACCAAAATATTTTGTTTTAAAGTAATGCAACATATGTTAACATTAGGGTCAACTTTACAAGTTTGAACTAAAAATGGATTCAACTTAACCTTCCTCAGGTAGCTTTCTTTCGCTTTTTCTCTCCCTCTACTTCAGACTGTCAGCTCTATTTAACTTCACTGCTGAAAGCGGAGCAGCGCACAGTGGCCAGCTTCACAACCAGACAGGAAGCTTTTCAATATAAAGTGAATTTTAACAATTCATATTTAAATTTCTTTCAAACTCTGATTATGGTTAGCATAAGTGTGCAAATATAGGATATACATGCAGTTTTAACATTTGTATTTTTTTTTTTTTAAATCATTACATTTTGCCCGGTCGGTGCGCTACAATCAATAACATGTAGAGGAAACCCTAAATATGTTTTAGACATGAACACCAAAAATATAAATTTTCAATCATCAGGAAAAAAATTGCTGATACACCAATGGCTCAGAGGAAAAACAAAAAAAAAACAACAAAACATTTCCTTTATCGGCTGCGATTGCAAATTAGTAGATTGAAATATGAAAAACTGTTTTTGCTTTGTTTTATTTGTTAAGTTCCAACATTTCCAGTCTATGAACTCGTCAACCAATGGCAGGTACTTTGGCGTTTCAGTCACATGAAGGTTAGACGCACACTTTGATAAATTAGTAGGCGTTTGTATCGTTTTCAATTTAAAACTAAAGCTTTCTTAGAAAGTGATCATTTTGTTAACATTTACTCATTGGCTTTGCATTTTAAATCTTAATTTGCTCAATTTTTACTTTACCTTTTCAACACCATGAAGGCTAATTTAGCTTTCTAAACTGGTCAAAAATCAGAATCATAACAAAGACAAACAGAAATCCGATTGGTTCAACATCAGTAATTAGTTTTAGGGCATATATTAAAACAGCAGAATGGCGATCCACGGTACAAGAAAAAATTGGCCAGTTCTGTTTAGCCATGGGATCGGTGTACTGCTAGTGATTTTGATGCTACATGTTGGGAGTCACAGTATCTGGGGAATTTAACTCATTCATTCGTTGTTGGATTTTAAATCTATTATCCCCATCAGACTTATAAAAAAAAAAAAATTCAGAAGAAAGAAATCGGAAAGAAGTCGGCAAGGAGGAGAAGCCTGATCAGCACATCTCTATTGCTAATCTTTTTCAAGTTTACAGTTAGCCGTGATAGCTTATCACATTTCAACTATCAAAGGCGGAGATCAAATCAGACTTAAACACACATTTTCATGGACACTTTCTGAAACACATGGCTGGGAGGAGAATACAATGCCACTCATCTCCTGATTCATTGAAACCACCACACTAGATGATTCATGGCCTTGCAGAGATCATCAGGAATTTCTGAGCAAGAAGAAGGTACAAGCTAGATATATATATATATTTACAGTCACATGATTAGCAGTTCTAAAAGCAGGATGTACAGAAACCTCGACAACACAAAAGCTCAAGCCAAGAAGTCGGTGAAGTGGCCAAGCAGAGGCAGTAGAAAGCAAATTATCTCAGATTTATAAAAGATAAGGCCGCAGTACAAGCTTCTTACAGAACTGCTGCAAAAACTCTACAAGCTTCAACAAACACTGGAGGGGGAAAGAAACACTTACAGGCTCATTAATGCTCCGTTTTGCTTTTGAATGTCTGAAATGTTCAAATGTAAAGTAGAGGAGAATGACAACACGGAACAACGGGTCGGTTTAGGAGAGAGCACCCTCCGCTTTTCCACCCAGAGACAGACAGAAATCAGGCTCATCTAATGTTACACAAACCCTAAAATTGTAGTAAGATAAGCCTAATGTGCTGCTTGAACTTTACACAACTACAACACAGTATATATATATATATATATATAAAAACTTCAAAGCTGTATTGAGAGTTACTATGAGAACTCCCCTTGGGGATAAGCTAACTAGCCTAGCTCTCGTTAACAGAACTTGTTTAGCATAAAGTTAATGTCAAACGCTACACAAACAGTAAGCTTATCTACTTAGAATAAAGTTTAAGTTATATTTTCTCTTTTAAACGACAATTAATTTAAAAACTATGTTGTTTTACTCCTGACGTGTAGCATAAGCTGCTTTTGTCTTTCACCGTCAGCTTCTTTCCAGAAACTTTTTAAACTTCTAATAAGTGACGCAAGGCTAATGTGTGCTAGCCGTTAGCCTAGCCCTCCTCAGTGGGACAGAGCAGCGAGCCTACGGACACCGCACTGATGACGCTCTCTACGTTTTACTTTTATTCGTTTGCAGCAATGCCAAAACTGGGGTTTAGCTACATACCTTCGTACGGAGTTAAGGTTCCATACATATGGTCGTTCTTGACAATATTTCAATCCAAAGTCCCAACTTTTCTACTTGTAAATTACGCCTCGCTTCAGCCGACCCTTCTCTCCGACTCCTCACGCCGTGTCCTCCAGATCCAGGAGACAACTAGACTGGAAACAAACGCATATCCCTCCGCCGCCACCAAAAGAAAAAAAAATAGTTCTCACTCGAGCGAGAACTAGAGTGAACTGGGCTGGAGACTTGCTAAATCTCCAGCCCCGTCATATTAACCGCTTCAAACATATTTTATTGTGCTAAAAATAAGACGTCCAGAGACATGCTTAAAATAAGATTTACTCGATCCATCTTGCGCATGATCCAGGGCGCTCTAAGTTAAAACGTTTTCCCTCCAACTACATTTATGCGAAAATAAGGGCGAAAATAGTTCCAAACGCAATATCTGCGTAACGTGCAGGAAAGAAAGCGACAATAATATAAGCGTAGTGTTTGTTTTTGTGTGTTTCCGTGTTGTATGTGAAGTCTTACGGTGGTCGTGCTGAGGCTGGGGAACGTCTCTCTCTCGCTCACAAGTTGCTGGCTCCACTCAGTCTGGAGCGCTGTGGTTTGTTGTATTGTTACCCTTTGTTGTCAGTTGCTCGAGACTTCAACAATTCCCGCGTTGCTAATCCGTTTAATTTTAATTAATCCAACTAGCTCCTCCAGATTCGCTCCCGTTTTCGCAGACGAAACTCTTCTCACGGACTGTACTGTTAGGAATGCGGACTCTCCATTCAGTCTCCGAATATAGTGCGGTGTTTGTGGATCCGCCACTAGTGGGCAACCTTCGACCTGTTACTGAAGTGAACAATTTATGTGAATCTGATGGATTTTCTTTTCTGAGTTTCAGTTATTGAACGCTTTGGGAATATTTCTAAACAGAGGCGACCAAAATTGTGTGGGGCCATGGGCAGAATTTGATTTGGGTGCCCAATTCAAAATTAGAAAGCTAACCCTGATTGTCTAAATGTGATATTCCATCCATCCATTGTCTATCCTGACTTTTCCTTGTAAAATTTGTTACTTAACAAGCTTACTAAATAAATATCAGCAAATACATTGTGGATGTAGGTTTATTTCACTGATTTACTCATTTATTTGTTATTTAGAATGGTGACGATGGAAAGATGCATTTCAGTTAGAGGTCTGTTTATGGAACAGATCATGGGTGTCAAACTCCAGTCCTCAAGGGCCACTGTCCTGCAGTTTTTAGATGTGCCACACGTACAAAAAAACGCTGGAATGAAATGGCTTAATTACCTCCTCCTTGTGTAGATCAGTTCTCCAGAGCCTTGCTAATGACCTAATTATTCTATTCAGGTGTGGTGCAGCAGAGGCACATCTAAAAGTTTCCGGGCAGTGGGCCCTCCAGGACTGGAGTTTGACACCTGTGATCTCGACAGTGAAACAGTAAAATGATCTAAATGTCTTCCTGCTTCTAAAAGATATGGCACTGAATCAGCAGATGTTTTGTTGTGAATGTTTGGTGTGTATGATGTATGTTTGTAACAGTTTTCTGAGCTGAATAGCTAATTTTCGTTTTATGTGAATAGGGGCCAGATATTATGCTCATACTTCATGCTGCTCCTTTTGTTAAGTGATTTCTTTTAGTCATTATCTGAACTATTCAGATTTATTTTTGAGTGAATGAAGCAAAAATATTAAATGAAAAGTTAAAATGAAAACGGGGACAACCTGACCACTTGCCAACTCTTCTATAAGAGGAACAAGTTTGGGAAACGGCACCGTTAAACATGTCGGATTATGTCTCTGCAAAACTCCAGAACATATTAAGATCATTTATATGATCAGATATAATATTTATCCTAAATGAGCTATATCATATAGCTATGGCATGATCATTTTCTTTTTATATTTTAAGCCAAAAATTCACATATAATTTTGCAATCAAGACACATTTTCTTTAAAAATTACATCATGGTTCTCTGTAGGAGTTTCGTGCAGATTTAAGAGAGTTTTAATCCATTTTGCTTGGAAAGGCAGATGAAGTGCCTTTAATAGTGAAGGTAGACATTTAAACCGCTGGGAGGAATCGTCTTGGCTGTCTGCAAAGCCTCGTTTGCCCTTTGCTCTTGTCTTTCATTTGTTAAAGCATTTGAATAATGGCTGATTAGCGAACAGTTTGCTCAAAGAAAGGATGAGCAGCTGCTTTTGCTATTTTTGATTAATCACACGGCCAACGAGAGCAGACGAGGCCTTCCAGGCAGAGATGGCAGCTCAGGCAAAGCGTTTCCACTCTACACGCTGCTGCAGACCAGGAAAGAGCCAAGTGGTGTGTGTGACTCGGTAACCAGTCACCGAGAGACACGATTCAAAGCATAAAACGATGTTCAAATATGTGCATAAATTACACAAGTTCACACAATCTCACACTCCTCGTTACAACCACAATTTGTAGTTTACTGTCTTTGAATTTTATGTGATAGCTAGACAAAAGAGTGCATTTATTGTAAAGAATGAGAAAAGTAGTCTGATTTTCAAAAATCTGGACAAAAGAAAATCTGAAAATTGCAGCTGAGTCTGATATTCACTACTAGATACTAAAAGTTTTTTTCCCCCTCAGATTCTCAATTTAATTTAGTTCTAGACTTTGAACCATTCAAACACATTAGAATGCTTTGACATAAACTACTCAGTTCAGTTAAATAAGTTTTGCTTGAAGTCGAGAATGTTACATAACCTTCACTTAAAATTTTTTGATAAACATCTACTTCGGAAAAATGTGTCATTTAAAAAAAAAAAAAAAAAAAAACTCATGTTATTTCTGTTCTTAGGTTTCAAAAATAAAGAAAAACAAAAAACTTTAACAGAAAATAAGATGGATTCATTTCCTTCTGTGGGATGTTGAAATTTACGAAAAAAACAAACATGATTTCCAACTTAAAGATGCAAAAAAATGGATCTGAAACAATATTTTTAATGTCATTCTGTTGTGTAAAATCAATTCGTCACACGAATAAAACCCATTTAAACCAGGATTTGTTTTTCAATTTATATTGAAAATGTTACTTGAATTTTTTATTATTATTATTATTTTTAGGCCACAGTTACTAAGAACCATTGTGGAAGGTCCACAGGTGCAGACAAGAAGATGAATCTGCTAAAAAGTAAACATAAATAAATAAATAATCACTTTATGGTTGCAATGTGCAAAAGTTCAAAGGGTGCAGATACTTTTTCCAAGATATTGTGCTTTTTTTATATTGCTTGCCACTTCTGTTCCATATGGGAACCTCATACAGCTGCATTATTGATAGATGCTCTAAGCATATACTTTATAAATTAAATTACAGTCTTCTGCACAAACGTTTACACACACACACGCACACACACACACACCACACACACACAGTCATTCCTCTGTCCAGTAGATTCCTGTATCAAATGTACTCTACAATGCACTTAAATTCATAGTGATGCTTTTTCCACTATTAACGACACACAGCATGTTAAGGTCAGGTTGCTGCTTTTACGTGGAATTGCTTTTCCGTAGCACAAATCAGAGAACAAACGGTTAGCGGCTTACCCAGTCGTCAAAGGAGCTGCGTCAACCCCGCCTATTCACGAACGACAAAGCAATTCCTGGTAGAAAATTTCCAACTAGAGAAAGCACTGAGTAGAGCAACACTTTACAACTGGACCACTTCTGGAGGAATTTAGTGAGAAACGTTCTTGTATAGAAAGAGTGAGACAATACAGAAAAGGTAGGAGTGTTGTTACCAGTGAGCTGTTCTTCCAAGCAGGAAAACGAGCAGCAATCACCTTAGAAAGAGCAACTCTAACTATGTTTGAATCAAGGAAGGATTTTAAAGATACTATTCAGGGCTGCAGGTAAAGATTACGGTAACACTTTATTTGAAGTGGGGTGAATAAGACTGTCATGGCACTTTCATAAACATGACATAACACCTGTCATGAACATGAATAAGCCTTCATGAATATTTATGACTGCTGTCATAAAGTGTCATTTGGTAAAGTATGACACTTTTAATACAAAGTTGACATTATTCAAAATGTCTTTATTATGACAACTTGACATTAACCAATAAATAATTACTGTTTAAACTTTACCTTTAATAACATAAAGTTACCTAGTTTTTAAAGTGCAATCAGTAATACTTTTATAACAAATTTATATCAATAATGATTTCCTGGTTAATGTCAAGTTGTCATAACAAAGACATTTTGAATAATGTCAACTTTGTATTAAAAGTGTCATAATTTACCGAATGACACTTTATGACAACAGTCATAAATATTCATGAAGGCTTATTCATGTTCATGACAGGTGTTATGTTTATGACAGTGTCATGTCAGTCTTATTCAACCGTCTTCAAATAAAGTGTTACCAAGATTACTTTAGTAGCTGATTATTCTGTCGATTAATTGATTAATTGGGTTAAAGGAAATTCTGCAGATTTCTCATTTAAAACACTTGAGCTTATTTTATACAATATAAGAAGTATATTAAAAGACACAAATAAACAATACAATTCCTTATTTTGAATAAGAAAATAAACATTTAACAGCCAAAAATGTAGTGACGCCACACTCCTGTAGCGAACGCCGGATGATTAGTAGCACAGGATCCATCTGCAGCTAAAAAAAATACTTCCAGCATCAACATGTGAAAACCTCAGCCTGATCCAATTAGTTTTGGATTAAATTATTAATAATTGGATGCAAAAAGTGCTTTATAGATTTTTTAGAACAGAATTTTAATCATCAGGTGAAGCTAAAGCTACGTCACTTGAGGATTTTTTTCCCGCCAGAACATATTTAGAGATTTTTTTTTAATCTCAAATGTTTATGTTTTTGTTCAGCTTTGTCTTAATTAGTGCCCTGAAAATGGCCTTTTTCATTTTCAGAGCCTGTATTCTCCAGTTAACGATTAATCAATGACTAAATTAGCTGACCATTACTTCCTTCAATAATCGATTAATCACGATTAATCGTTTCAGCTCTGCTAGTATTCAACCGTTTCAAAGAGAGAATTATCATTCAAAAGTGGAAAACGTTCAGGAAAGCAGCTCGAGTACTTACACTGAAAAGACAAATTAGATGAAAACTCATTAAGCGTCATTATATATAATCAAATTAAGATATGAGCACAATAGGACAGAACATGAATGCTGACTTTGGAATAAAAAAAAATCTGCTAAGAAATTTACTACATCATTGGTTTGCAACAATATACCAAACAGTGAAACTATAGACACAAACATTTAAAACTATGAATTTATTTTCTTCAACTCATCATGACAAGGAATGTTTAATTATACTTTTTTTTTTTTTTACAATTTACAAGAATTAAACCAAGTTCAAACAACAATCACAACAAAACATAAATTTAAATTATTAAATGGTGCAGTAAATTACACTGATTGTTTTTTTTAAAAGTCTGAAAATAAACCTATGTGTCTTCTACACATTCCCCAAGTCATCGTCTCCCTCCACCAGTCGACATGAGAGTTAAAGGTTTTAAGATCCTCTAAAACAAGCAAAGAAAGTGATCAAAGTGAAAACTAAACAAAACCTCTTGTGATAATGTAACAAACAGTTATGATCGCTTTGTTGGCCAACTTGTTTACAACAGATTTGGACACACCAACAGCATTACTGTTAACTAGGGGTGCACTGATCAACCGGGCTCAGACTTCCGTAGTTTTGGGTGACTGGCCGGTTGGGTCAGCCCGATATTTATGTGCGAGATTGACTTTCTAAACAAAAAAAATTTTTCACTTGTTTTTTAATTTAAAAAAAAATTGACATCAGCTAAAATCTGCAT